TACGTAGCATAGTGTTCCCTGGACGTTGGCCGCGCCAACACTGACACCATAAAACAAACGTCGCTCATCGGTGTTTTCACTTCATCTTTTATTATATACATTCTGACAGTCTGACACATGAAGAATGCAAAAATATACCCCGCGCTTCCCCTTTACAAAAATAGTGATTATCAGCCCATCACACTGGTCGGTACAGCGATCGGATTCCTATTGCAGCGTGGTCAGAGAGTTTCGCAATCTAAGTTCTGTTTGTTCCCCGGTTCCATCGATGGCTCGCGGTGCATTGGGTTGGTCCCAGCGATCTGCAACACTGGAGACTATTCGATCCTGTGAATGACTGACTGAGAATTGGTCCGCCCAGGAGTAGCAGGTTATGTAACCAACTGGTGTGAATGTAAGCTGCTACATGAGGAAACACAATAAGGACTACATTGCATGCTTCTAGGAGGGCCTCATTATGCATACAATGACTTTCAGCTCACAAGTCGGAGCTCTGCCACGCCTCCCTATGATACAAGCCTCTCTATAGGCTCACACACACTTCCGGGAATGGGCGGGAGTAGAAGAGCTCTGCCACGCCTCCCTTCTATACAAGCCTCTCTCTAGGCTCACACACACTTCCGGGAATGGGCGGGAGTAGAAGAGCTCTGCCACGCCTCCCTTCTATACAAGCCTCTCTCTAGGCTCACACACACTTCCGGGAATGGGCGGGAGTAGAAGAGCTCTGCCACGCCTCCCTTCTATACAAGCCTCTCTCTAGGCTCACACACACTTCCGGGAATGGGCGGGAGTAGAAGAGCTCTGCCACGCCTCCCTTCTATACAAGCCTCTCTCTAGGCTCACACACACTTCCGGGAATGGGCGGGAGTAGAAGAGCTCTGCCACGCCTCCCTTCTATACAAGCCTCTCTCTAGGCTCACACACACTTCCGGGAATGGGCGGGAGTAGAAGAGCTCTGCCACGCCTCCCTTCTATACAAGCCTCTCTCTAGGCTCACACACACTTCCGGGAATGGGCGGGAGTAGAAGAGCTCTGCCATGCCTCCCTATAGGCTCACACATTGCAGGAATGGGCGGGAGTAGAAGAGCTCTGCCACGCCTCCCTATAGGCTCACACATTGCAGGAATGGGCGGGAGTAGAAGAGCTCTGCCACGCCTCCCTATAGGCTCACACATTCCAGGAATGGGTGGGAGTATAAGAGCTCTGCCACGCCTCCCTACAATACAAGCCTCTCTATAGGCTCACACACACTTCCGGGAATGGGCGGGAGTAGAAGAGCTCTGCCACGCCTCCCTTCTATACAAGCCTCTCTCTAGGCTCACACACACTTCCGGGAATGGGCGGGAGTAGAAGAGCTCTGCCATGCCTCCCTATAGGCTCACACATTGCAGGAATGGGCGGGAGTAGAAGAGCTCTGCCACGCCTCCCTATAGGCTCACACATTGCAGGAATGGGCGGGAGTAGAAGAGCTCTGCCACGCCTCCCTATAGGCTCACACATTGCAGGAATGGGCGGGAGTAGAAGGGCTCTGTCACGCCTCCCTATAGGCTCACACATTCCAGGAAGGGGTGGGAGCATAAGAGCTCTGCCACGCCTCCCTACAATACAAGCCTCTCTATAGGCTCACACATTGCAGGAAGGGGGGAGTAGAAGAGATCTGCCACGCCTCCCTATAGGCTCACACATTGCAGGAAGGGGTGGGAGCATAAGAGCTCTGCCACGCCTCTCTACAATGCGCACCTCTCTATAGGCCCACACATTGCAGATTTAGATCTGCACACCATTTGCTGGTCCTTTAAATAGCCGATGTCATTCTCTAATCATAGTATCTAAGAATTGTAATATTTAAGACTCTCCAGTCGTTCTCTGTTGGCTCTCATAGGTAATGAACGTCTTATAATCAAGTCTACTTCAAGCCTGTATGATAAGACCCGCCCACCCAGCTTCATGCACGAAGGCAATAAATTAAAATCAAACCAATCATCATCATCATCATCATCAGCGCAGAAATGTCACATTTTATAAAACAAAGCCGCCTGCGCACATTGGACGCACATACAGTATATACATCATGCCAATGCGATCCCTACAAACATGAGTGGTTTTTTTTAGAAGGTAACTGCCCACAGACCCCATTGGATAAAGTTGGACAGCTGACCTTATGTAGTGACGCCAATCATCACTCCAGCAGGCGATGCCAATAATATTTCTTAAGACTATAAAATATAATACAAAGGATAAAACACGGGACAAGGAAATGATATGTAACATTTTAGCACCTGTAACCTGGAAGAAGACAACCGGCAACATTGTAACCATGACGAATATCGCTGAACTCTAACCTTCCCAGTGCATCATGGGACACCGGCTTAAAGGGGAACTCCAGGCACAGCAAACATTCGCATCGGATAAGGTCTAGAATGTTTTTGGATGAAAACTCAATGATGAAATATGTTTTGGGTTTCTAGCAACTGTGCGAGAGCAGAGGGGAAGGCCGGGGGTCGGATAGAAGAGCAGAGGGGAAGTCCGGGGGTCGGATAGAAGAGCAGAGGGGAAGGCCGGGGGTCGGATAGAAGAGCGGAGGGGAAGTCCGGGGGTCGGATAGAAGAGC